CCCTCTATGGATTTCAGTTGGGGCTGATGGGGCTGGGACCAGCTGGAGACCATGGTGGACCCCAACGGCAGCATCGCTCTGAAAACTAAGATACCTTTGAGATCAGATGCCCTTCTCCATCCTTCTGGTATAAACCTGGGGTGCTCCATGTGTAAACTAAAGAGCATCTCCAGCTTTTTCTTGCTGTAAAAAGGAATGAGGAAGCAGTCGGTCTCCCACTTCCCGCTGCTCACTTCTCTGAGACCACATGCACAGCATGTGCTGAGCACCCACGTGAGCGAGTGCCTGAGGACACAAGCTAATGCCTGGTCACCTTTGAGGGCTGCAGAAGATTGAGCAGGAGATGTCAAAAGTAAACAATTTAAAGCGATGCATTTAATTAAAACCAAAATGAGAAGTTTTAGAGAGCCCAACAACTGCAATCTGCAGAGCTCCGGCAATCTTTGCAGAAAATCAACACAAGCTGCTAACAGCAGCAGGGGTTCCAGCGGGGTCTTGGAGGAAACGGTCATGGGAGGAAAGTAGGAAAGAAGCTTCAGGTGAAACAATTACTGATCAGGTGCATGACAATCCCAGAACGTCATCGTTCAGACGGGAAGACGCACGATGCTTAAAAGCAAAAATAAAAGAAGGCACGAAGAGCTTCCCCCAACCCTGCCACCCTGTCAGATGCTCAAGTCCAGCAGCAATCTCACCTCCCACTGCTCTCCTGGCTTTGCACGGGTGGGACCGGACCACGTTTGCCTTCCTCCCCCTCCCGCTGCTTGCAGGACAATGTTCATCCGGGGAGGTTCCATCCCAATTTGCAGGAGGGCTGAAGCAGCAGCGCGGGTGGATCAGAGCAGAGCCCACGGCAAGGACAGCACCCACCACACAGAGCCTCTGCTCCTGACCCCCATAAACCACCCAGTGCATGGTCCAGCGAGGATTCAGACAGGGATTGCCACATCTCCTCTGGCACACATCTCAGGAGAGGAGGGAGGGAGGTAGCGAATGCCCTGAGATGTCTCTGAAGTCACAGAAACCTGCTTTATGCCCTTTACTTTATTCCCACGTATAAAACGAGGCCCTACGAGCCCCCAGCTAAACGTAGCTCCTGCTTCCTTCTGTACGCACGGCAGGATCTCACCTGCCCCTCCCGCCATATCCAGATACAAACATCCACCCACACCGTATATAACCTCTTTGCAGGCTGTAAAACCGGGAAGCTTTAATTGATACTATATTTCAAACTGTTGTGCAGCAAGGACATACTCCAGGCTGAGTCCTCCAGGGTACCTTTCTCCACCCCTGCCTTCCCTGCAAGCCCCCGAAAGCCGCTCCCATCGCTATACTTCTACTTTTTGAATGATTACTTACGAGAAAGAAAAAAAAAAGAACAAAAAACAATCAACTACTGAATGTACAGAGCTGATTGGCTCACATATTCATGAGGAGTTTTATTACTGAGATGGAGGGGTTCTCCTTCCTTTCTTCCCCCCTTTGACACTGCTAAAGGGTCCTTTAAATAATGTTTTGCATTTCCATATCCTCATAAAAGCCACCACGAGCCTTCCTATAAATCCAAGCCATCTCCGAACGATGCCTTCTGCTCAGCGCGGGCAGAGAGGTTGCCCGAAACCACGATGCCCCGGAGCAGCAGAAGGAAGGAGAGGATGCTCCCACCATCCTAAGAGCAGATTCAGAGGCACGGAGCCGCTTCCTGCCAGTCCCAGCAGCTCCTGCCAGGCTCTCCTGGATGTGGTCTTCTCGTGAAACGGAGGAAAAGCAGCTGTACAAACCAGGCAGTGATTGCTCAGAGGGGAGAGGAGCCGGGGCGGGGGGGGGAACTCCATCAAATGAACAAAAGGAAGAAAATGAATGGAGAGAGAGAAATCAGGGCAACGGAGACAGACTGGTTATTAATACCGCTGCTGGAATACATTCTCCCAGCCTTTGCTGCCAGTTGGCTTCTGGTCCCAGTCCTTCCCCTCCCCATTCCCATCCTGCCACTCCAGCAGGCTCGGGAGCTTCTTTCTCTACTGCCGTTGCTTGCTGCAGCGGGGAAAGCTGCTTTCCTCTGAGGTTGGAGACATTTGGTGGGGCTTTTTCTCCCCTCCTTCTTTTCCCAACTTGGCTTTGGCTCCTGGCGCGCTGGAGCTGGCTGGCGTCTATTTAAAGTTTCCTTCAAAGATGAGTTTTCATCTGCTAGGAGAGGGATTTCTTGCAGCCTCTGTCTTTGTTTTTCCTGCAGAGGTGCTGGTAGCTTCTCCACTTCATGATTTTCCTTGGCTACTGGCACCTATTTTAATACCACGTTTCAAAAAGGACCCTGAGGGCACTCTTCTCTCACGCAGGAACATCTCCCATGAATAAACTGTCCCTCCATCTTGCAGAGCCGTCATGCAAAACACAAAAGAGAACAGCTTCAGGAACCAAACTACTTAGAATCATGGAATGGTTTGGGTTGGAAGGGACCTTTAAAGGTCATCTAGTCCAATCCCCCACGCCACAGTGATCAGTGACGTCCTCAACCAGATCAGGTCGCTCAGAGCCCCGTCCGAACTGACCTTGAATGTCACCAGGGATGGGGCATCTACCACCTCTGTGAGCGCATGGAGACGTTTAGGAGACACGGTGCCCACTATCGGGTGCCACGCCAGGGGCAGGTGTAAGACTGAGCAAAGCTCCCAGCCTCAGCCAGGCCAAAGACATCAGCTCTACTGTGGCTTTGCTCACGTGGGGATGCCCACGCCAACCCACCCAGGCCAAAACCAGGTTTAAACCCACCCAGAAGCTCAGCAGGGAGGAGCAAGTCCTCCGTTCTCCATCAGCATACGGCTCTGGGTGGCAAGGCTCCGCAAACAGCCAGCCTTGCTTGGTGTTTCCTGGGTATCAATAAAATTTCCCAACTCGGCTCAGTTCTGTGATGTCTTTAAATGTTTTATATTTTGCTGCCAGTTGGGTGCCGCCTGGGGATTTGTTGTTATTCAAAAAGAAGGGACAACTTTAAGAGCTTTTCTCGTCCCAGGCAAGGGACTCCGCCATCGCATTAAATGATGAGATTTCAGTAAAAGTGATCGCCACTGCAAAATGTCTTGGCTGCTTCTGTGTGAAGAATTTGACTGTTTCTCATAAAAAATATTAAAAAAGTTTTTGCAGTTTGTAATTATATTTTACAGTTTCATTACAAAGCTCATTTTAATTCTTCTCCAAACCGTTTTTACCAGTCCTTTTGCCGCTTTCTCTTTAGAAAAGTCATTAAGTCGGGACTGGAGATCATCCCATTTCCCCCAGTTTCAAGGATATTAATCTGTTTTATTGGTATTTCATTGTCATTTGCATTCGAGTGTTCTCCGTATTTGCATAATTTGCGTTGCCACCCCCTTCCCGGTGACAAGCACAGGCTCAGCTTTTCACTTTCATTCCACAGAGTCATGTTGCATTTTGGTTTATTTTCTTTTTTGAAGACACACTGTCTTCCCTGGGCCTGAACTGCAGGCCAGGAGCAGGATGTCAAGGTCCTATGTCCATGACCACCTTCCTGGCCAACCTTCAGCAAGTACCAAACCAGCTGTGAACTCCCAGTCCAAGCGATGAACTGGACAGTGCCCATCTCAAAGGGACAATGGATTAACACTGGAGCAACCTCATTTCCCAAGCGCAAAAAGAGTTTCTGTTTTCCAGCTACTTGGAATAACGATCTGTGAAGACTTCAGAACATTTATGTGCATCCTGGACAATCCTTAAAGCCTTCTGGAAACAGGTCAAGGCGCAGATAAGTCCCTTGTTTCAAGTTATGTATTTTCATGTCTCCACTGATGTCCAGTTCCTCCAACCTGAGACCACAAAGTAGACGCTCTCCTCCTCTTTCCTTTAAGGACCAAGCTTTGACCATTGGGATGTTCCATGTACCTGGAGATTAGGTTGCAATCTCCAGATTCAGCAGCTAAGAAGCATCCTTAGGGACCAGCGCAGAGGCAGCCTCGCATGCCAGCAACCTGCTGCACCCAACACCCATCCCATAAGCATAATGAGGTGCAGATGCAGAAGCGGGATTAAGGAGGCAGCGAGGGCCAGTGGTGGAGCTGGGGAGAGCATGTGCTCCGTCAGTGTTGCAGTGCAGGTAACATCCTATGAACGCGTATCAAGGCCAAGAAGAAACCACTCTGAATCCCACTTCAAACATGCTGGTGAGTCCCTCCCTGCCGCGGGGTGATGGTTGAAGCCCCTCTCCATCACTCCCTGTTGCTGCCATGCTGCTGCACCTCTTAAACCATCTACCTCTCCCCAAAATATTAATCACCCTCAAGAGCTGCTCTCCATCCTGGCCCCTAAAGTGGAGGCTCTACAGGAGTTGGCCGCACCGGGACACCCCATCAACACACTGGCTCTGTGCAGCACATTTCTGGCAGAGAAAAAGTGCCCCCCCCGCACGCCCCAAGCAGCGAGACGAGCATAGGAGCTGAGGAATTGGAACCGACTGAATAATGGATCCCGTCTGCTGGAAGAAAATGAAATTTGCCCTCGTGTTACCGAAAACTTGCACTCGATGCTCACTGCACATTATAAAGAAAAGGTCAGTGAAACACAACAAACACAAGGAGCCCAGTTGGAGAAAGCAACAAATAGTGACAGCAGCCCGCGTCTAATTTTTCAAAGCATCTCTGCTTTTGCTCAAATCCTAGCAATTTCCCTCAGCACCGCTGCAAGGGGCTGGGACAAGCAGCTTTGCTGCTGCAGGACAGGAGGACGTCTGTCTGTGCAGGCTCCCAGGGCTCGTCAGGGAGTTCGGGAGAAACTCAGGAATGTCCAGACACCATTAGTAGTAGTAGTAATAATAATAATAGGTGCAATTAAGACTATTTCAGCCTCAGGCTCGCAGCAAGACGCACTTTGCTCCTCTGGGAAGGGGGATCCCTGCAGCCGAGTGCAGCCAGGGCAATTCCCAAAGACAAAGACTTGCATGTCCCAAACACACCCAATGAGGCAGAGAGTTCTGACTCCCCGGAGGGTCTTACCGTCCGCGATGAAATGCTCGGGTACATGAAGTGTCACCTTGACGGTCAGCGGGCAGGAGAGCTGGGAGCCGCACACCACGGCCAGGATGCAGGAGCTGACGGCGATCAAGGTCAGCGCTGTCTTGTTGACGGGGCTCTTCATTGAACCTGGAAGGCAGAAAGAGGGGTAGGTGGCCAAAAGGCAAAGCTGCCTCCCCCCTTCCCTACGTGGATGCAGGAGAGTCCCAAAACCCCAGGGACGGGCAGGTATTGAAAACAAAGACAGTTCAGTAGCACTGGAAGAGCTCTCGAGGTCTGCAAACTCCATCATTCCCATCACACCTCGTTTGGCTGGGTTTTTAACATTCGTGTTGTTTCACTCACTAAGTTACATCCGTCTTGGGGACTATATTTTCCTAGAGGAGGGAGAAAACCTGCTCAGAGCCCTGTACAGACCCTCTCCCTGGGAACTCCCCATTCCTGGAGCTGTTCACCACCCCTGCCACGCTCCCTCGGCAAAGCCACCATGACTCCTCAGCCTTGGTTTATTTGGCTAATCTTGCCAAGTCACAAAAAAATAAGCAAGCCAAATCTGAGGGCTGCCTGGGCCATGAAATCGTTTGCTTTCCTTTAACACCAGGAGAAATCTACACCTCTAGATGTTATATAGCACCAATGAGTATTAATTATTTACCCAAATATACATAAATATTCAGTCATCACAGGGCGACTACACCAAACAACAGAGTCAGTTGCTTTTGACAGGCAGAAGATATTACAAAACAAGTTTTATTTTGTCAGGCGCAGAAGCTCACAGTGTCTCCTGCTAAGCAGCTCCACATTTTCCGACACACGAACGCCAGCCACCGAAGCAGGCACGCATCCTGCCCGGCCCCCACACAGCATGTGGGTCACTCCCAAACCACCATCCCTAGACTCGAGGGCCACATGCCTGGCACAAGGGCTAAGGGATGCCAGCACTGAGAAATAATCCTGCGAGGCTGCGGGGATCCCATCGCTCCATGGCTCCGCTCACCTGCATGCTCCACCAGGCTTCACTGGTGGCTTCTGGTTTATTTGGATTTGTTCTGAAGCATCAGGTGAAAGCCAACAAGCCAATGACGAGCACAAGCATCCGCAGGCCTAGGGAGGCCGGCACCAGGTACAACACCGGGAAACCCTCATGGAGCGCTGCGGCATGAAGGTGACCAAATCATTGCCAACTATAGTGAAGCGAGACAGAGCAACCCCCAGACTCCGCAGGGAAGGAGGTAAAGCTGGACAATACAGAGTCATCGGGAGAGACTTGGTTGCCCCAAGAGACTCGGATGCTCTTGTTGGGTGCACACCAGGAGCACACGTGTCCAGATGAGACACCCTCCACTGATGGAGGTGACCGGAAGAAACTGTCCCCTGGCCACCGCTATCGCACGAACAGCTCCCCAGTGCCCAAGAATGGAGCAGCCCTGAAGCCTGCATCCATGGGGCACTGCTGGTCCCCTCCCCACCCATGGGGCACCGCTGGCCCCCTCCTCACCCAGCCCCACTGGAGCTGGGGGCTGCCCCACCACTGCTCTGACTACACCGCATCCCCCACGGCCACCTGGTCTGACACCTCGCACCAGCGCTCTGCTTTGCTCAAAGCTGACGACAGACACCCCACGGAGCGGCCAGTTCCCTCCTCCGGTGTTTCGGATGCTGATTAAAACTCACTTGGGGAGCTGGCAAAGTCGAACGACTGGCCCAGCCCAGTAGCCCACCTTGGCTGGCACGGTGCAACTGGTGGGACCTGACGGTGCCCCTGCTCAGGATCCAGGAAAGGACACCTTCTTGGTTTTGAAAGTCAACCCAGCCTCTCCCTCCTCACTCCCCAGCCCTCACAATCTTATCAGCGAGGCGAGATTTAAAAAGCACCAGTTTGAAAATTGAAGGGGAAACACATCCAGGGAGTTGGCACTCGCACACCCTGTGATCTGACCGACGCCACTGGTAGAGATGCTGGTGCCAGGGCAGGGACCTCGTGCTCGGGCTGAGCCCACAGCACCACCTGCGTTTTCCAGGCAGGGCAGCATGTCCCACCAAAGCATCACCTGCGGCAGGATGGAGCCTCCACAGTGGACGCTCCAAAAAGCATTTGCAGGACAAGAGAAGCAGCTGATTTGCTGGAAAATACCCCCACCACTGCGACCATCAGGAGGCTGCAAACTGATTGCTTATGAAGCACCTTTCACTTTTCTTATGCACGCATCATCCAGACAGCCTTCCCATCCCTATTTCACAGCTTTATCACCGATCCCCTGCACCCTTCGCCTCGTGATCTCGTTTTTTTTCTTCCCCATCTGTATTCATATCATCAGCGTAAGTTAGCACCTCCTTGGGAGGGAAACTCATCCTCTCGCCGGGCACACTGTGCCTGCCACAAACCCTGTGCTTGCTTGGAGTTACGATGAATGCAAAAAGAAAAAAGAGAAGAAAAAAAAAAAGAGAACAGAAGGAGAAAAGCCTCCATCAGGGTAACTGGACACAGCCAAGTATACAATAGACCAGAGAACACTGGATTTTACCATTATAAATCACCTTTCAAGCCAGGGTCTTAAAGTGCTTTGCAAACATTAAATCACAAATCCCTCCTGAGTTAGAGGAGTATTATCCTCTTCTCACAAAGAGCCTCAATCACGGGTATGACGGCAGCTCTCACCAGCCTGCAGCCGGAGTGGAGCTGCAGGAATTTGGATCTGGGAGTTCCCATCTCCATCAGTCCACGTAGCTGCTTACTTCCCCATGACTAAGAGGAGGGAGGCACAGGAGCTTGAAACAGCAAAAAGCCCATTACAGCTCGATGAGTTTGAGCTTGGGTGCCCAAGGAAAGGGACAATGTGCTACGAGTCTCCTGTAACCACCTTTCCCACTCACCTGCCTCATGCTCCCCACTTGTTTCCATCACGGCACTAATTACTGACCTCTAGAACTGCCTGACATTGGTTCTGACCAACTGAACAAAAACCACAGGTCTTCTGCTTCAGCATTCAGGAATTGGATTTCCAGCTCAGCTCTTTATTGCTCACAGCCAGTTTGCTGCCAGGTTTGAAAGGAGGCTGCTGGAAAAGCAGATTCTTCCCTCGTTCTTTGAAGAGAGGGATATGGCTCCTGTTTTCCATCCCATCGCCTGCTCTTCAGACCACTGATGCTCCAGCAGAAGCACTCCTGTGCTGTGTTTAAACACTCATCAGGAAGTAAACAATTTCATGTCTGGCCTCTAGAACCACAAGCAAATGTATTCTTAGCAAGCCACTGCTAAGCAAACCAACCTCAACGGCCTCACCGAGGCTTCATGCTCATGTTCAAGAAGTGAGACAAAATGATCCATTCCTTCCTCAGCCCGCAGAGGGGATCCAAACCCAGCTCAGTAACTCAGGAAGCACCACATAAACCACAGCG